GCTAATATATCAATACACGAGCGTTGATTCGAGATCTTGCTTATTAAAAGTAAAACTAAGAAAATAAATCTTTGTGTGTTCAGTAAATATGTATTATTTTGTCCTCAGCCGATCAAGACCGACAACGACGAGATGATGGTGCACCAAAGAGCTCACTCCGTGTCCTCCACTCTACAGGTATTGTGTTTGCCATTGAACGATAGTTTTTATAATTTTCTTGTTTATGTTTTGATAATATTAAATTGGGTCCGAGAAGTGATCGCTTAATGGGCGTTACCAGCTGCTGGCTCCAAGAGTTCCAAGAATAAATTAGGAACTATAAGGCCTGTCCCACAATTGGCTTAAAAATGACTTCATTGTCAGATAAAGAAACAAAATACGATATTGCCAACACAAGTTTTTATCCGTTTTAAATGAATTTATGTTATTACTTTACAATTTTTGCCTCTCAGAAGAGACAGCTGCCGTCTTCTGTCGACGCATATGGGTTGATTCGCTATTTTGGCAAATTCAGGTGACCGCTTGCTCGTTTGCCAAAACATAAAAAAAATATTCCTCTGACTGTGTCAGCTTGTGTTTATTAACGTTAGTGTATGTGTGTTCAGGGCGGGGGGTACGCGACGGTGGGTCGCGCGCCGCGGGGGGCGCTGGCGGCGACCCCCGCGCCCCCCGCGCCCGCCGAGCCCGCCGCCGACAGCGCCGACCAGCTGCGCTACGAGAACGACCGCCTCAAGCTCGCGCTCGCGCAGAGGTAACGCCACATTTAACTAGTACACTGTACTGGCGGTACAGTTACATAGTACAGTGCATTATCGGTACCTTTACATAGTACTGTGTACTATTTGTACAGTTACACAGTACAGTGTACTATCGGTACAGTTACATAATACTGTGTACTATTCGTACAGTTACATAGTTCACTGTACTGTCTGTACAGTTACATAGTACTGTGTACTATCTGTACTATACTACTATCCTATTTATAAAAATAGGAAAGTTTAGAAGGATGGATATTTGTGAGTTTGTTGCCTAAACTAATCTTGATGAAATTTGTTGAGCATAGTCTGGAAGTACGTAGGCTTTTTACGTACGTACCTAGTACGTTTCTTTTTTAATTCCACGAGTACGGAGTGGCGGGCGTAAGCTAGTCTATACTAATATAATAAAGTGTAAACACAAATTTCTCTGTTATGTAGGATGTCGGCAATCGCAGTATATTTTTAAATTATGTTTTTTCAATCAGAATCCCTACACTTACTATATGTTATAAGATGTATATGTTCACGCTATTTAATTTAGTGGTGAATTTGGAAAAAAGGTCATGTGTGAAAGAGAACAACTACTGCCATGTAATTTGGCTTTTCAATGATAATTTAACAAAATAACGTGTTTTGAATTGGATATATAGATAAATAAAATATTGATGTTTATTTTATAACAAAAAAAAGTTTATTAAATTGCGACAGTTTTTGTACAATACTTAAATTACTAGAGAACCCCACAGTCTTATAGAACCTAATTAAGAATTATAACATTTTAAAGTAACCTTTATTGTGTAGGAAATAAGGTTTAATAAATAATAAGTAATCTCTGGTATTTAAAAAACAAGTAGAAAAAAAAATTCGTCAAATAATGAAAAATCCTTATTTAAATAGTCGATATATATATTACTAAAGTTAATTTTAATGTGGTTAACACAGTAGAACCTCGATAAGTTAAAGTCTAAGGAAACACAAGATATTTTAAGTTATAGAGGTTTTATGTTATCTATGTCTATGTTGTCTATGTTGTAGAGGTTTTGGGCTCTGATGGGAGAGAACATATTATTTTTTGAAGTTATAGAGGTTTTTAAGTTACCGAGGTTCTGTATATAGATTATTAATTTAACTGTACTTCAAACAAAAAAAAATACAAAAATATTATAAATCTTTGTAGAAAATATAATTATCTGTAAATAAAAAGAGATTAAAAAAGTAATACGTGGAAGTAGAAAGTTTAGTGTAGCTATAAAATATCTAAATTTAATTCGTATTTAACATTTAATATATTGAGCAAAAATTATGTTAATTTATAGTCTATTATTCATAAAATAATCTAAACAATCGTCAGTGTTTTTTAGTTAATTACACGAAACTTGCTTTCGCCCGCGACTGTGTCCGCGTGGATTAAAAAAAAAGTGAGTGGCCTGTGTTCTTCCAGACTATCCTCTACATCTATGCCGAATTTCATCGAAATCTGTTCAGCAGTTTAGGCTACAAACTCTAACAAACATCCATCTAAATTTTCGCATTTATAATATTAGTATGATTTTATACAATTGGTTAAACTGTTTTTGTAAAAGACTAAGGTTTTTAATTTAAATCGTTTGAAACCAAAGATATACAGAAACTAGAGAGTGCATTCTAATTTAAATTTTAATTTAAAACACTGAAGATTGTTGATTAACTTTACTTCCACATTTACTACAAAAACGTCGACATCTCTTTCTATCACTATAAAATAAACAGAGATAAAATATTTCCTGTACTTCCGGCAATAACATACATTTCTCTATAATACTTATATTAATTTTAAAGCATTTGAAATTAAGGGTCTGTCCCACCACTGGCTGATAGAGCTTAATTTAAAAATGACGTCACTGTCGACGTCAAATAAGGGAACAAAATCTGATATTTCTATCACATTTCACACGTTGGATTTATCAGACAATTACAATTTGGTGGGACGGGCCCTTAACGATAGTTTTCCGAAGTAAAGTTAGTGTTCATAGCTCGCGTACGACGGTATGAAAGCTTCTTCGCTCGCGTATTCGTGTTGGTATGGGATGGGCTCATATGAAGGCTTGATTTTGTATTCCTCTGTGTGTTTTGGAGTTCCTGCGAAATTTATTTTTTTAATTTACGAAAAAGGTTACATCTCTGAAAAAAATCTTGATAAAACCTTTTGAGAGTTTCGGTTGAGACTTTCTTATTTGCCATTTCTGATTTTGCCAAATGTGTGATCGAGAAATATATTTGCTAACAAAATTATCGGAAATCAAATATTTGTGACTGGGCTTTTAAATCGATAGTAAATAAAAAAATACCTATTTTGTAAATAATAAAAAAATAAAACCGACTTTCAAAAAACACACTAAAACAGAGTATTCTCAAAAAAAAAATATATATACCAAAAAGTAACGAAATGATTCCTTGAAAATAGTAAACCTCTCTTATTGTAGCTATTATGTCTATATTGTACAATTATTATTACTTTGATGTCGGTGTCAGCCAAGGTATGCAGTGATATTTATATGTAAGGCTTTCTACATTTGTACCATAACAATTGACAATTGAAATTATAGTAACGTTTAAGTAATGAATCTACCAATGTAGTCAATACTAAGTAATAATATTTTTACAATATAGACAAAAAAAAAACATAGACGAATTGAGTACCTCCTTTTGGGAAGTCGGTCATTAATTTTCATAATATAACAAACTTATTTGATCACTAAAGCGGCTATCTGGAACACTCTGGTAGAACACATAGGTAATTATTTAATTCCGCGCTAGAAGTTATTACTTACCAATTTTATGGACAACCGCATTAAATCCGTTCTTATCATCCGCTTCGTATTCCACAATACGTTTAGTACCGTCAGTTTCCACTAGCGTATAAGTTCCTGTACAAATAAATTATAACCGTTGGTTTTCACTGCAGAAATTTAACATCGAAAAAAAATTGACTGATCTGATGGAATTTACTTCTTAAATATCTCAAACTAACTGTTGTTCGCCATTTCGGTCCCGTGACATTAAAAAAATAATAAAAAAACATAGCCATAGCCTATGTTACTCAAAGTTGAATTAAAAAAAAGTTATAAAAGAACAAAAATACGAATCTTTCCTCTTTATAATATTAGTATAGATATAACTCTTTACGAAAGATTTTCGGTACAGAACCCCATCTATACTAATATTAAAAAGATAAAAGATTTGTATTTTTGTATGTATTGAAACACTACAGAGCCGATTTACAAATTCTTTCACCATTAAAAAGCCCCGTTATCAGTGATTAGTACAAGCTATATTTGGTATTCTTTTTAATTCCACGTGGACGAAATTGCGAGCAAAAGCTTGTATGTACCTTTTACTTTGTCACCGTCTCTTGTCTCCCAATGCTCCTTGTCGTCACCAGTATGTGGGTCCTTTACTGAGTAATCGAAAGAATATTTTGGATGTGCCTGAAAAATATAATTTCTCATGTTAATTTTACAATGTAGACAATATGTACAGGTAAAGAATTTAATTCACTTCCCATTTAGTATTACTATTATTATTTATTTTCATGGAAGACCAACAGCTATTACAACAAAGTAGGTATAGTGGTAGTTAAATTGTACAGCAAATAACAGGTCTCCACTAATAGAAGTATTTTACAAAAATGTTAATATATGTTATTATGAGTTAGCCCGTATATTTATTATTGTGAGTTTTCAATTCGATTGCATATGATTATTAAATGGGTAGGAAATAAATGTCCTCGACTGTAAAACAAATTATACATACATGATAATCAACATCATATTCATCACCGTGATGGTCACCGAGGCTCTGATGTTCATTTACACTGTAGCCCTCCAAGCTGTGACCTTCCAGTCCATGACCTTCGAAGCCATGACCCTCGTATCCGTATCCATACTCCGCCAAAGCAGCTGTTGCTAGAAGCACCAATGTTGTACATTTCTGTAAAAAAAAAAAATTATAAGTAACAATTCGTATTACTAAAAAAAACATACAGACGAATTGAGTACCTCCTTATGAGAAGTCGGTTAAAATTATGGTCAAATAAGACTAATAAAGTAATCTTGAACACCCTGTGTTTGGTAAAGCACTGCAGTAACACGTATATTAAAACACTAACGGACTCCTACGACTTTGTCAATGCGGAATTGAAATACAATAAACAGATATATTAAAAAAGTTTTTTATGTTATATATGATTTTTTTTAATATATGTCCAATTAAAAATTTCAATTATCAAACGTTCTCTTGTTTTTTTTTAAATGGCATTGGTAAAGTAGTCTGTGTTACTTTACCCCAATGCCATTTTTTTTAAAAACCATTAAAAATCTTAACATAATTATTTTTTTTTTGTAAAGTTGGAACATCCTGTATTGTATTAGGATACAAACCACTATGTCATTTGTGATGTCACTATTACATGTAAGTTATGTGAGTTCACACTTCAACTTTCCTCGGTCATTCGAGTTACCGTCACATTTGTTGCCAGCTCATTCATAAACAAGAGGTTTCTAGTCGTTCTAAATTACACTATGGTTATAGTAGACGCGGAAGCGATTTTGAAATCTTAAAAATAAATTAAAAGTTTTTTTTTAATAAGCTAAACGGACTGTAGGTCTGTGAAACTTGGGATAAAATTACAAATTGATTGACATCTTACAAAACACATATTAAAGATTGAATTTGAAAAACTCGAAAAACATTCCACCTGAGTCAAACAAGTAATAATAAGATTTGTACGCGGTTCACATTTGGTTAGTAAAGTTTAACAATAACTGGACTGGCAATCAACTGGCACCAGTAAGTAAATACAATCTATGACTTGCCGTTGCAACTCCAAATGTACTGGCGAAGTGTAAACCGCACATTTCACTGTGGTGTATCCACACCCTTAGCTTGCATGTTGCGCTCGTCACGCCAAATTATTTTCACTTTCTTTCGCTTTTATGCTTTTCAATTTCGTTTG